TTTTAAAATCAATTAAAAAACATTAATAAAATATAAACTTAAAATGATGAACTGTAGTTCACCCAATTGATAATTTACCCTATAAAATAGGGAGCTAAGATGGGTGGATAGTTAATGTGAGAGCCACGTAGTTTAGTGTAAGTGGAGGGTGAGTGTGAAGTCAAGGGCCCACTCTTTGAATATTTTTCAAAGATTATTTAAGATAAGCTGTCCCCAACTTACCCTGACCAGTATATGGAAATTTTGGATTTGGTCAAACCCCTGCCCCCAACATCCAACGTCTTTCCCCCATTAATGAAATACTCCTTTAGCCCCATTAAAAATGGGTGTTATTATATTAAAAACCCTTAATATTTTTTTTTGTAAGAATATCACTTTTAGTATATTAGTTAGAAAAATAACCCCCAATTGTCATATAGAATAACCTCACATTTTATAAAAAGTAAAATAAGATATTACGTTTTACGAAAAAATAAGTTTCAAAAAACATTTATTATTTTCTTTATTCAATATTAAATAATTTTATTTAAAAACTTAATGGATCTCGTGTTGTATAAAATGCGAAGTACATTAAATGCGTTTTACAGAACACGAGATAGTCTTTCATGGACAGTTGTTCTTTAAAAAAAATAATTATTAGGGATTTTTAATATAATAATACCGTTAAAAGTAATCTAGGACGTGTCTTTGGACACCATCCTTTCAATTTCATGACCACCTCATTGTTGATGTTATTGTCAAGGGGAGCCCTTGCTTTTGCTTATGAATGGGCTGGGTTTTTAGGGCAAATTTGACCCAGTAAACCATGTGGAAATAAGAATTAACCTATTAGACCCTCTTCAAAATTAATTTGAGGACTATGCCAAATGCTATAATATAAGGCAGACTCGTCGCACCCACGTCGAAATGAAGAGTTTCAATAAAATATATTTTTATTAGATTTTGTCACGTTGGAGTGTTAAGTTCCAATAAAACATATATTTTATCAGAACTCGTCATGTCCACGTGACGAGTTCTGAGTCACTATAACAAATGTTGTAGTCCCCAAAATAAAATAAAAATTTGATATCGCATTGGGCTAAATAATTAGCCCGCCTACCGTATTGGGCCAAAACTGCAAGTGATCATTTTGTAGAAGAATCCCCCGTCCAAGTTTATGGTTTTGTTTTGTTCAATAAGTTAATGGATAAAAGATCCAAAATATACAAGAGCTTGGGCCAAACATATCTAAAGGACAAGCCCAATGATTTTGTTCATGTCTTTTTTTATTCAAGTATAAAATTATTATATATTTTTAATTTCATATTAATTAATATTTAAATAATATTTTTATTAGTATAATAATTATGCTTGATTGAAGGGTACCAACAAATTTTAAGCTTGATTGAAGGCAGCTGTTGTGGGGAATGGATGTAGGCTAATTCAGCCTGTAAATTCACCACCTACCATCATCATAAAAAATGAAAAATAGACGCAATCTAAAAATAATAATTGTTAACTCATTTGTGTAGGTGAAAAGTTAAGAGAAAATAGGTTAAATATAGTTTTTGGTACTTAATTTTTTGACAGTTCAGCAAATATGACGCCTAATTTGTTTGACGACAATACTTCATTTTTTAATGATGTAATTGGATATTCAATTTTTAATTTTTAATAAAATTAAATATTTAATAATTTCTTAATTACACATGTTCATATTTAAAAAAATTAACGTCTAACTTTTAATCTACAACGCATATTATACGTTTAATTAAATATCATTAAAATTATAACTATAAATCAGTAAGAATTAAATACATGTAATTAAAAAATTTAGATAATTTTATGATAAAAAAATTAGGTATTTAACTACAAAAAAAGTTAGATATCACAGTTATCGAAATTAGGTATTATAAGATAAGCAAATAGGTCAAACGTGGATCTGCCTGGGAGATACACAGCTGAGTTTCCATTCCAAATGCTAAGAAATCTGTATTATTTTAGTGCATGCATGCAAGCCATGGCTTTTTATGATTCAATGCTAGGAATAAAACTTTGACCCAACGCCTAAAGCAGTGAAGTGATGAGGTCTTAAATCAAGTTAAGAGGGATGACCTGTTGTTGGAGGGTAAAGACATGGCCGGCACAGCCATAAACAGGTTCTCTAACCCTAGCCAAAGCCTCATAACAGTGTGTAATTAACCACGACGTCGACGCGCTTGTGTGCTGGTATCCGCTGCAGCATCTTGGAAGCACTGCTACCGGCACCGTATTTTGGCACCACAACAACAGGTCATCCCTCTTAACTTGATTTAAGACGGCACCGTATTTTGGCTAGGGTTAGAGAACCTGTTTATGGCTGTACCGGCCATGTCTTTACCCTCCAACAACAGGTCATCCATTGGTCCGAGTCGAAATACGGTGCAAATATGCAACCTCTTACGCACTTCCGCCTCAGGAATTTGCAGGCACCACAAGGCCCGCCTTCATTATTTTCACTCATCTCTCTCTCTCTCTCGTATGATCTGAATCTCCGCCTAAACGAGATTATCTCTTCTTCCTTTCAGAAGTAGAAAACTGGGTTTCGTTTGTTAAACTCGGTTTTGGATAAGAAAAAAATGTTGAAAGCTTTGCCACACTTAAGTCTGTGGGTCATTAATTACACTTAATTTTTATCGATACGTAAGCTACCCATATATTTTAATATTCTACTCCAATGGATATATGGAAGATTAGAGCATGATTACTTGTTTGGATTTACGTAGAGATTAATAATGTTTGCAGATTAAACATGTTTAGGTGTGATATGGGATATATAGTATATTAAGTATGTGGTTGGCTTTGAAACTTTAAAGCCACGGGCGACGGCAAACCAGGGCGCAAGGCAAAGTAGAAGGGAGGAGTGGAGTGGTGCAGCTGCCTTGTTTGCGTGACGCAATTACATACACAATAACACATGTCGGCGGGCAAATTTGCTCATGTAAGGCAATGGAAAAAAATTCCCATATAATACAATACTCTCATCATATTATTTCCTGAATTAAGATCGTTGCAATAGTGTCAAAGAAAAGACTTCGAGAACACCACATGATTTTAATTATTTGGTAAAAGATGTATGAATTGCCACGTTTCTTCAACTTTTTCAAACAATATGTATGGAAATGCAAAGTAAAGAAAAAATAGCAATGACGGGGAAGATTCCTTGTAATCCATGTCTTTCCCGAAAAAATTGAAGTTACGTGTTATTTTCGGTGTATTCCTCTTGACATTATAACAATAACCCTATTTAAAAAAATAATATGGTAAGAGCCTTATATAGAAAAATCTTTTTTCTCAGTTGAGCAAGCATGCCCATATCGGTAAGAGTGGCAGCTTCACCTGTTAGAATGTCGGGAAAGTCTTACGTGCAACAACCTAATATACGGCTAAAGAAAAGCGCTACCAGAAATGTTATTATTTTTTAACATTTCTGGTAAAAATTACATAAAACATTATTATTTCTACCAGAAATATTATTATTGGGCGCTTTATCGGGTTTATTAACATATCCGATAAAGAGCTATCTAAAACATTATTTTTTCTACCGGAAATGTTAATATTAGACACTTTTACGGGAAATGTTAAAAAACATTAATGTTTTAAGTAAAAAATAATTTAATTTTCCCATAATGTCATTCACAATTTAAGACCAACATAAGAGAAGTCAGAATTTTAATTTGAGAGTACAAAATATAAATTTTCTAAAATAAGGAGAACAATTTCATAATTATCTCATAAATACTTAAATTTTATATGTAAATTAAATGTAAAAAAATTATCAATTGGGGGACCACAGCTCCTCTCATACCCTTAATAGTTCTATCCTTATCATATACCAACAAGGATTAAATCTTTAAGAGGTCAAATAAAATATATCTTTATTAATTATGTAAAAAAATATATTATAATTTGACGAGCTTAAACCTTAAATTTTAAATTATAAAGTCCCTGACTATAGGACGATACTTAATTTATTGAATCTTTTGATTATAATTTATTGAATCTTTTGACTATTAAAAGTAACAAAATTGTCCTTTAACTATAAGGCATTGTTTTATTGAGTTCCCAACTATTAAAACTTACAAATGGTCAATCGACTATTCATATGTTCTAAATTCATCATTTTTTGTTAAAAAATTAATTGCAGTATGAGCGAGTATTAACCTGCTACCTAAGATATGATAAAATCTGATCTTAGAATCTCAAAAATACTATTATATCCGGTCAACATATTAACGTCAAACTTAGACTATCATCAATCGTTTAACAGGAAATGACGAGTTTGAAACATATGAATATTTGAGTGACCATTTTGTAACTTTCAATAGTCGATGGACTCAACAATGTAACGTCCTATAGTTGAAGAATCATCTTATAACTTTTAATAATCAGAATATTCAACAAAAAAATATACTATAATCGTGGGATTATTTGTGTACTTTACCCATAAATATTTAAACTAAAAAAAGCTAAAAAATGATTTATATAATTACAAAATTAATATGTGGTTATTTAAACCCCGAAACGAGAGGGGCTATAGGATAGTTTGCTTAACTTCAATATTAATAAGTCATCAATTTCTAATTTAAATATGAAGGGTAAACATCCAATTTATCTAAATTTAAAAATATTTAAATACAAAAAAGACACATTAATTTGTGTAATTATAAAATTGATATGTAAAAGATTACTTAATTTCCCGAAGCATAATATTCAAATTAAAACGCTTGTAAAACGGTTGAAACTAGAAAAGTAGTCGGGTCGTGGGAGAGCGAATCCAAGAGCACGTCGTTCCTCATAGAAGATCAAAGAAATAATTCTTTCATAATGCCGTAAATGTTCTCCGCCTTGTGACAATATCACAGTTTAACCTTTCAAACATGCTGATAAACCTCAGCTCACCCTTAGCTAAGTAAGGGGTATTTCAGTCTATTGACTTTCAAACTTGGATTTACCAACCAAAAAAATAAAAAATAAAAACCCGATCTGGATCTGTACCAGCAGCCCCTTGCCTGGCTCCGTGTATCAAAACAACTCATTCTTCTCCTTTCGTTCTCTGGGCTCCGTACTACTTTTTTTGTACTTCATACGCAATTAGAACAAAGGCAGGCTAATCGTGTGGAATCACTGAGTCAATTCGATTCCAATTCTTAACTCAGGTAATTCAGCCTACTCCAAGTAAAGAGAGGTAAAAGAACGAGCCCTACCATTTCGTTATCCATTTCCTAGAATCGATTTTATAACCGACGCGCAGTATCCGACCCGGGAATGGCTTCTTCGGAAGCCGATTCCCGCTTGAGCCAAGTGGTAGCCCCGGCCTTAGAGAAGATCATCAAGAACGCTTCATGGAGGAAGCACTCCAAGCTCGCTCACCAATGCAAATCTCTCCTCGAGAAACTCACTACGAAGTTGCCTTTGTTGCCGTCTGATTCGGAGCCTGATAACTCGATCCCTGGTCCGCTTCATGACGGCGGCCAGGTGGAATATTCCCTTGCTGAATCGGAGACAATTCTAAGCCCTCTGATCAACGCTTGCGCCACTGCTTTCGACAAGATCGTGGATCCGGCGGTTGATTGCATTCAGAAACTAATCGCTTACGGTTACTTACGTGGCGAAGCGGACCCCACTGTAGGTCCCGAGGCTCAGCTCTTATCGAAACTGACAGAATCCGTCTGCAAATGCCACGATTTAGGTGACGATGCTGTTGAATTACTGGTTTTGAAAACGCTTTTATCAGCTGTAACATCCATATCTCTCCGAATTCATGGTGATTGCTTGTTGCAAATTGTGAGAACTTGTTATGACATTTATTTAGGGAGTAAAAATGTAGTCAATCAAACCACAGCAAAAGCTTCTTTGGTTCAAATGTTAGTGATTGTTTTTAGGAGAATGGAGGCTGATTCCTTGACGGTTCCGATTCAACCAATTGTTGTGGCTGAACTAATGGAACCTGTTGAGAAATCCGATGCTGATGGATCAATGACTCAATTTGTTCAAGGGTTTATAACTAAAATCACACAGGACATTGATGGAGTATTGAATCCAGCGGCACCGAGTAAGGTTTCTTTAGGTGGCCATGGCGGCGCATTTGAAACTACCGCTGTTGAAACCACTAATCCAACCGACTTGCTGGATTCTACTGATAAAGATATGTTGGATGCAAAATATTGGGAGATTAGTATGTACAAGACAGCACTGGAAGGGAGGAAAGGGGAGTTGGCGGATGGTGAAGTGGAGAGAGATGATGATTTGGAGGTTCAGATTGGGAATAAGTTGAGAAGGGATGCCTTTTTGGTGTTTAGAGCACTTTGCAAGCTGTCGATGAAGACGCCACCAAAAGAGGCTTTGGCAGATCCCCATTTGATGAGAGGGAAGATTTTGGCACTTGAGTTGTTGAAGATTTTGTTAGAGAATGCTGGAGCTGTATTTAGAACAAGTGAAAGGTATCTTTAACGTTTCCTCCCTGCACACATTTATCATATTTTTGTGATTATATCAATTTACGTTTTGAAAAGTTTCTAATGGTTAGCTCTTTAGTTATTCATTTGCTTTGCTGTTATGTTCTTGGGAAGTGTGATATGCCCTCTTAATATTAGTTTGCTGCATAGGCATATAGTATGTGCTAGAGGAATAGGATGTATCCAGAAACATCTATAAGACGTAGGCACTTATGTATCTAATCTTGGAGTGTCCAAAGAATTAGAGCATTTTATTGGGTTGGAAAACACCTTGGTGGCTTTCATGTTGAGGCGCATTAAAGTAAATCTTGTGGGTTTGTTAATTCACCGAATATTTTACTCTTTTTTGTGGTAATATTGTGGCCATGGACTCGTGAAAATTTAGTAAATCTCGATATTTTTTTAAGGTTTCTTCTTATTGGTCAATTAGTTTTATCACCTCTGTTTATTTTAAAAAGGTATTGTGTGTTTGCTTTTTAATTAGTTTGCCTTCATATTGCAGCACCACCTCTACTTTGTTTGATAAGAGGGATGGAAAGGAGAAAGGAAGGTTGAGTTACAAAATGAGAAATCTGATATTAAATCTCAGCCATATAAATAACAAACTCTCCTTCCATCTTCCCTGTCATACATTTTCAATGCTTGCCAGTTTTACTTTATTTTATATTGAGATCACTTTTTTTTAAATGAAAGATTGAAAGTTAAATTTCATGCCTCAGCATGGGGGTTGTATATATAATATATACCATTTCCTTGATTAGAACTGACATGGTATTTTATTGTTTTCACACATTTCAGTTTTTGTTTGCTCGCAGTACCTGATCTGATACGTTTCCTGAATTTGAAAATTTTCTTCTGGTGGTACAGGTTTTTAGGTGCCATAAAGCAATACTTGTGTTTGTCACTGTTGAAGAACAGTGCTTCATCTCTTATAATTGTTTTCCAGCTTTCTTGCTCAATTTTCATTAGTCTGGTGTCAAGGTTTCGAGCTGGCTTGAAAGCCGAAATTGGAGTATTTTTTCCTATGATTGTCCTCAGGGTCCTGGAAAATGTTGCTCAACCTAATTTTCAGCAAAAGATGATAGTTCTTCGTTTTCTGGACAAGCTTTGTGTTGATTCACAGATCTTGGTAGATATCTTTCTCAACTATGATTGTGATGTCAATTCATCAAACATATTTGAGAGGTATGTTTGGTACTCCCATAATAATGTCATTGAAGTAAACACCATACCATATGTTTGGTAGAAGTTAACGACATATTTCTCACTTTTTTCAATATGGTTCTTTCCAGAATCGTCAATGGACTGCTGAAAACGGCTCAAGGTGTTCCTAGCAGTACAGCTACAACACTCCTTCCACCTCAGGAAGCAACAATGAAACTTGAAGCTATGAAGTGTTTAGTGGCTATTTTAAAATCAATGGGAGACTGGATGAACAAACAGTTGCGCATTCCAGATCCTCATTCTGCAAAGAGATTTGAAACAGTTGAAAACAGTCCTGAACCAGTAAATGTCCCCATGGAAAATGGGAATGGAGATGAGGCTGTTGAAGGATCAGATTCTCATTCTGAAGCCTCTAGTGAAGCTTCAGATGCTTTAACAATCGAGCAACGTCGAGCTTACAAGCTTGAGCTTCAGGTGTGTATGTAGATGATGTATGTTAAAGTTGTCTGACTTTATCTTCCTTTTAGCTGATTGTCATTCATTGGATCTAATTTAAAATTTGTGGCAGGAAGGTATATCACTTTTTAATCGGAAACCTAGGAAAGGAATTGAATTTCTAATTAAAGCAAATAAGATTGGTGACTCCCCAGAGGAGATTGCTGCTTTTCTTAAAAATGCATCTGGTCTGAACAAAACATTGATTGGTGATTATCTTGGAGAAAGGGAAGACTTATCACTGAAAGTGATGCATGCCTATGTTGACTCCTTTGACTTTCAAGGCATGGAGTTTGATGATGCAATTCGAGCCTTTCTGCAAGGTTTTAGATTGCCTGGTGAGGCACAAAAGATCGATCGAATCATGGAAAAGTTTTCTGAGCGTTACTGCAAATGTAATCCAAAGGCTTTCATCAGTGCTGATACAGCTTATGTCCTTGCTTACTCTGTGATATTGCTCAATACTGATGCTCATAATCCTATGGTCAAGAACAAGGTGCGTATACATTCTCTACCTGATCCTATGGTTTTTTGTGCAAGAAAACTGATGAAGTTCTCCCTTTCCTAATCGATATGTGCAGATGTCAGCTGATGATTTCATAAGAAACAATCGTGGCATAGATGATGGAAAAGATTTGCCGGAGGAGTACTTAAGATCATTATATGAACGGATATCAAAAAATGAGATCAAAATGAAAGATGATGATTTGTCTGTGCAGCAGAAGCAGTCAATGAATTCCCACAGAATATTAGGTCTGGACAGTATCTTGAATATTGTGATACGCAAGCGTGATGATGACCAGCATATGGAGACCAGTGATGATCTTATCAAGCACATGCAAGAACAATTTAAAGAGAAAGCTCGGAAATCCGAGTAAGACGAATTGGTTTTTAAGCTTTTATATTTTCCTCCATTATATGGAGAGATTCCCGTTTAATTGTGTATGGCTAGCAAAACTCATTTTATCTGTGCCTTCTGTTTTATGATAATCTTTTTATGCTACCTTAAAAAATAATTGTCTTTTTATGCATTTCATAAGAATAAGGTGGAATTTCAAGAAGTATTTTCATTCAATTTTTTACATGGTTCAAGCTTAATTAATGCTTTGAGATATTGTAAATATTATATTCTATTTCAGACAATTTTGGCTTTCACCGTCACTTGTTAAACAGGATTTTCACCCATGACTGAGCATGACACATGTTTTAAGAATTATGATATTTCCTGTTTAAAGTGAAAAGTTTGGTTTCGATTATTCCTTGATTTCTTTTGTAATGGCAATTTGTAGGTCAGTTTATTATGCGGCTACAGATGTAGTAGTTCTGAGATTCATGGTTGAGGTGTGCTGGGCTCCTATGTTGGCTGCCTTCAGTGTGCCTCTCGATCAAAGCGATGATGAAACAGTGATAGAATTATGTCTTGAAGGCTTCCGCTATGCAATCCATGTAACTGCTGTGATGTCCATGAAGACTCATAGAGATGCTTTTGTGACTTCATTAGCTAAGTTTACTTCACTGCACTCTCCTGGAGATATCAAGCAAAAAAATATAGATGCTATCAGGGTTAGTATTTTGCTTCATCTGCACTGTGTATGTTGTTAGTAAGCTTCTTATATTTTTAATCTACCTTTCAAAAGAAATACTTTTAATCTGAATTTTTTGATGGTGTTTAATTTGTGTTTTTCCCCTTTATCTTATCCCATTCAAGTGCTTGTAACCTGGCGAACCATGTGATGTCATGTATTCCTATTGACAAGAACCCCTTTATTTATTTCCTATAGTCATTGTAACCTTTGGTACAGTGAGTTGTGAGTGCTACTAGTGCAAGTTTACCCTTTTTTTACTGAGTGTGGTTATTGCTCATGTATTGAATGAAATTAATTTTTGAATTGGAATGTTAATAAGTGGCCGTGGGGAGCTCGTTACTATGATGCTTTTATTTGAAAGAAAATTTTTATTTGCTTGTTAATCTAACATTGAATTTCCATTTACATTGTTAATAGGCAATAGCTACAATTGCTGATGAAGATGGAAATTATTTACAAGAGGCTTGGGAGCATATTTTGACATGTGTATCTCGGTTTGAGCATTTGCATCTCTTGGGGGAGGGTGCTCCTCCCGATGCCACTTTCTTTTCCTTTCCTCAGAATGAGTCAGAAAAACCTAAGCAAGCTAAGTCAACTGTCCTTCCAGTTTTGAAGAAGAAGGGACCTGGGAGAAATCAGCATGCTGCTGCTTCTGTAATGAGGGGCTCATATGATAGTGCAGGTATTGGAGGTAGCTCTGCTGGGGCAGTCACATCCGAACAGATGAGCCATTTAGTCTCTAATCTCAACATGTTAGAGCAAATTGGTGAAATGAATCGTATATTCACACGTAGTCAAAAATTGAACAGTGAGGCTATCATAGACTTTGTTAAGGCTCTCTGCAAGGTCTCCATGGAGGAGCTGAGATCTACATCTGATCCTCGGGTTTTTAGCCTTACAAAGATTGTTGAGATTGCGTAAGATTCATTCCACTTCTCTTATGTCTTATTTTAATGCAATATATTTGTTTATATTCCTCAACTGTTAGTTTTCTGATCTATTGACAGGCACTATAACATGAACCGGATCAGGCTTGTATGGTCAAACATCTGGCTTGTACTCTCTGATTTCTTTGTGACTATCGGTTGTTCTGAAAACCTGTCAATTGCAATTTTCGCTATGGACTCTTTACGACAGCTATCAATGAAATTTTTGGAGCGAGAAGAGTTGGCTAATTACAATTTTCAGAATGATTTTATGAAGCCTTTTGTCGTCGTTATGCGCAAGAGCAGTGCTGTTGAAATCCGAGAATTAATCATCAGATGTGTCTCACAGATGGTGTTATCTCGAGTCAATAATGTCAAATCAGGATGGAAAAGCATGTTCATGGTATTGGATTCTTTATAACTTTCTGAAACCTTAGTCTAACAAATTTATTAATGATCTGATATCTCTTCTTCAGGTTTTCACCACTGCAGCTTATGATGACCACAAAACATCGTTCTGTTGGCCTTTGAAATAATGGAAAAGATTATTCGAGACTATTTCCCATACATTACTGAAACTGAAACAGCCACCTTTACTGACTGTGTGAATTGCCTAATTGCATTCACCAACAGTAGATTCAACAAAGATATCAGTCTCAATGCAATTGCTTTTCTACGTTTCTGTGCCACAAAGCTTGCAGAAGGGGATCTTGACTCAAAAGATAAGGAATTTGGGAAGGTTTCTCCATCTTCACCCAACAAGGGAAAAGATGGAAGACAAGATAATGGAGAGCTAGTGGATAAGAATAACCATCTCTATTTTTGGTTCCCGTTGTTGGCTGGTAAGGGAAAATGAACTAGCTGTTTTAATGTATTTGAAATTGCTCGAGTTTTCAAAGTTACTTTTTATCCGAAATTGTTTGAGTTTTTAATTGTTCTTTTATCTTAATACTTTGCAAATGCATTATGTTCTGAAATTGCATCAAATTTTGTTGCTCAGGCTTATCCGAACTCAGCTTTGACCCGAGGCCAGAAATTAGGAAGAGTGCTTTACAAGTTTTGTTTGAAACTTTACGCAACCATGGTCACCTCTTCTCACTACCTTTGTGGGAAAGGGTTTGAGTCTGTCCTGTTTCCAATATTTGACTATGTGCGACGCGCTATTGATCCATCAGGTAGTGACTCACTTGAGCCAGGGATTGTTAATGACATGGATGAACATGATCAAGATGCATGGCTCTATCAGACGTGTACATTGGCACTACAATTAGTTGTAGATCTTTTTGTGAACTTCTATAATACTGTCAATCCTCTTTTGAGGAAGGTTCTTTCATTACTTGTAAGTTTTATCAAGCGTCCCCATCAAAGCCTAGCTGGCATTGGAATTGCCGCATTTGTACGTTTGATGAGCAATGCAGGGGATCTTTTTTCAGAGGAGAAGTGGATGGAAGTGGTTTCTTCATTAAAAGAAGCAGCTAATGCTACACTTCCTGATTTTTCTTTCGTTGTTAGTGGGGATAACATGGCTGGAAGCAGTGGAGATGCTTTGAAGAGCCAAAGCATCGAGGCTTCTGCTGGTTCTGACACATCTCATGGTGATTCAGAGAGCTTGACAGCACACCGCCTTTATGATCTTTTATCCGATGCTAAGTGCCGAGCTGCTGTTCAGCTTCTATTGATTCAGGTAATACTTCATCTGATTGTTGAAAAACTGAATAGAATCCTTCCTCGTACCATTAAAAGGAAAGTAATGGAATGGAGATATAAACTTCCATCTTTTTTAATTTGTTATTAATTTGTTTTTAAGTTTTGTTAGCGGTACTTTTTTGGTTTCTTAAGCGTTTTTTTCTTTGTGCACTTAAATAGATAGTTTTTGTTTCTTAAAACTTTTTGAATTTTGCACAGCTGTTTAGCATGGTTAAAAGTTATGGATCAAAGGCTTGATTTTGTTTGAAGACATTTTTTCAAAATTGAAAATTTCTAAAACGCTCAAGTGTTGCTGTTAATTAATCTTTTTTTTTTTTTTTTTTATTTTATGTTTGTACTAAGATGAAACTAAATAATATATTTTATGTCTGAAGTGGACTAAATTTAAGTCTTGGATGTCATTCTGTTCTTATTCTTCCAACAGGCAATGATGGAAATTTACAGCATGTATCGAACTCACCTTTCAGCTAAGAGCACCTTAGTCCTCTTCGAGGCAATGCATGCTGTGGCGTCCCATGCTCACAGGATCAATAACAATAGCGTACTACGTTCCAAGCTTCAAGAGTTTGGTCCCGTTACCCAACTACAAGATCCTCCGCTATTGCGCCTTGAGAATGAGTCGTATCAGTTTTGCCTTACATTCTTGCAGAATCTGATATTGGATAGGCCTCCAAGTTACGAGGAAGCGGAAGTAGAGTCCCATCTCGTAGATCTTTGCCAAGAGATACTGCAATTATATATCGAAACGGCATGCCCTGGACAGGCTTCTGAAACATTGACCAATGGACGTACACCCTGGGTTATTCCTTTAGGTTCTGGGAAACGTAGAGAATTGGCTGCCCGTGCACCTCTTGTTGTGACGACTATGCAGGCCCTTTGCAGTTTGGGAGAAACATTGTTCGAGAAGAACTTACCTCAATTATTCCCTCTTATTTCGAGCTTGATAAGTGCTGAGCATGGTTCCAATGAGGTCCAGGTGGCTCTCAGTGATATGCTTAGCTCCTCAGTCGGTCCCGTCCTGCTTCGATCATGTTTGTCCTGGTGAATTGGACTGTGTTTTGAATATGTATGATAAATACGGCTCCCCCTCGAACCCTCCGATCTAACTCCATAGTTTTATTTTCTCGTACAGGTTACAATATAGCTTGAATATAGTGCAAGTGTAGTTTTATGTTGGGATAATAGCCATTTTCTTCAGAATATATAGATATAACACTGGTCTATTTCCTTTTTTCTCTTTAACCTTTCCCTTGTTAGCATGGTTTCATATCATCAATTTTCCTTTATTTAGTAAATACCGTAATTGAAGAACACGTATGGTGTATAGACGTTCATCATGAGGGTGCCTCATAATTTCCCCTTCTTTTGGGTGTCCAGGCTGTTCCAAGTTATATTTGAATGCGTTGTCGAAAGACATGCGCTTTAACCCGTGTTTTAGCAATGGCCATGTCAATGTTGGGGTAAATTTATATTTTGGTACATAAACTTGCATAAAGGTTCAATTTGGTACCTATATTTTTTTTCAAATGCCTAAAATTAACTTTCCAGGTTTGGTAACTGAAGTCTCTCTTGGTCCAATTAAATACATGAATTTGGCTTGATACTAGCGACTTTTTGATCTGAATCGATATTTACGATAAGTGATATGCTTGAATCAATTTGAACGATAAAACCAATTTCATGTTAAATCAAAAACTTAATTTGGATATCTAATTGGATAAATAAATTAGGTTTCAAATTAAACCTAATATCAGTATCAAAAGTATATTTTTACCCTTAAAGTCAAAACGCAATCATCATGCTGTTTCCTCAGTTTGGTATAGTTAAAATATTCATTTGTTGTTTTATCATCCAGGTCAAACACTCATACAATGAAAATAAGATAATTTATAAATATTTTCGAATGCTATACAAGAGAAAAATAACTTCCCAAAGTTATAATTGCAGTGTCCTTTGGAGACAATTATTAGTGTCAAACTGAGAATCACATATCGATTAGGGGTGAGTATTCGATTTAGTCGAGTCGAGTAAAAATATTTTGAGTTATTGGAGTTTATGAGTCTTTTTTTATAATTCAGACTTGACTTGAAATTTTCTCGAGTCGAGTCAAATTTTCGAATTTCTATTTAAATTTAATTATAAATATTTACAATATTATGACATTATTTATTAGTTTAAATGATATTTTATAACCATATACAATACATATATATTTTTTTGTATTTTTTTATATATGATTCACATATGGCATACGAGTGATTCGACTCAAACTTGAAAATCAATCTAATAATTACTAAAATTTTGAGTTATTCGAATTATATTTTACAACTCGATTTGAACTTAATTTTTTTAGTTGAGTGAGTTTATGAAATTACAACTCGAACTCAATTCGAGTCGAAAAAATCAATTTTTCGAATATAGTTTGGTGAACCCTAATATCAATTGATGTTAACCTTCGTTTAAAATCAATTTTCTAAATGAAATATTTAAAAGCCACTTTCATTTAATTAAAAAAAAAAGAACTAAAGTGATAACAATTGAGCGACGATCATCACTAGTGATTGAATTGAAAGAAGTCATAGAAGCAGGTGAAGAGATGACAACATTGATTCCAAAACAAAATCGCTATCATTCACATGGAAAGCCAGGGTTGGTCGTCTATTTTAATCTCTAAAAACTAATTCCCACTGTTCGATGTGGGAATTGGATTAATCGACAAAACAAAACCAAGGCTTCCAATTGGGTGCAACAATCTGGAACCACCTTGGCTTATAAAAGCGGCTTCTTAGGGAGCAAGAACATGGAGACACATTGCCAGATTCGAAGCAATTAGGTGCCCCTCACATGGAGGTCCAAACCACATCTTCCGTTGAGGTGGTCCAATCTCTTCCTCCATGTTAGCTTTATATTTGTTAATTTGGACAGGATAACGGGTTCTGATTTGTTTAATCAAAAGGAGGGGTTTGTATTAAAATAATTCTTTAAATTTCTAAGCTCCCCTCCCCCCAAAGTGAAGACTGTGCCTTAAATTTCTTGAAGTCCTAAATTCTTATCTTAACAAGATTCGGCTGATCTTGCTTAATTATGTTTCGCTAAGCTCGGTGAAATTTACGTTGTCTCCGACGTAAAAAACTCGATCTTATGAACATGAAAGAGTTTAGCCACGAAACTACAGTTGTCATCTAACAAAGCCATAATTGTAGTGGTAAAAAGATGAAACATGTTGCCACTTGTAGATATAAGTGGTTGTGATTCAGGAATTTGAGTTTGTAAGGTCAAGTAAGAATCTCATCTCTGTCACTCTTTGTGATCAATCTATAAATTTTTATGTAAATCCCAATCGAATCTTAGGTATACCCTGACCCTGGACTGGGAGAATCACCGCTGACATAAACTTTTTGTAACCAAAAAACAGATGAAACATGTTAAACTAATTTTAGTACAACATGAATCAATAAGTTACAAGGGTGAATGCATCAATCACAACCTTCAATAACATAATAAGATAATCTCGTAAATGCTTTCAGTGGTAAATGGTATTTTTTTTCTAGAGCTTCTGGGTTTGAGTAAATTTGTTTGTAGGGCATGCGTTGTCAATAGATCAAGAAAACCCTGAGTAAGTATTATCTTATAGTTACTCAGAAATATTAAAAAAACATAATAGGATATGAGAAAGGATTCCAATTTTTTTGTATGGCCGACCAAGTATTTTTTAGCATTGAGGTTGTTTTCATTGAGCTTAGTTGTTTAGTAAGTAAAAGAAGGTTTGGCTAAAATTGATGAGATAGATGAAAGTAACGTGAAGACGAGGATGAGAACGAATTTTGGACAAGTGGAAAAGATTTGATGAGGGATAGAGATTTTGTTCTTTGAAGAACTTAGAAAATTCAAAATTATTAAATGTAAAAAATCTTAAAATAATTAAAAATTAAAATATATATAATTTTAAAATTTTATATTTTGAACTTAATTTTAAAAAAAAATTATAATGTATATTTAATTTATTTATTTTCCATATCAAAGAACGCTTGGATGGGATTTGTGTTATGGTTTGGATAAGATTATATACACACACATGAAGCTCATATTAAATAAGAAAATAGCTTTTATCAGTAAATTAATCTATTATACGATGAGAATTGCAGAGGAGACAACTGAAAATCCGACACACAGCAACAAATGGATTCATGGGATTTAGGTGTGCTAGTGGATGATGTGGAGTGGTAGAGTAGAGTCTTTTATTTTGGTGTTTTATAAAAAAATATTATAAAAATTCATTTTTAAATATTTTTTTTATAAAAAATTGGAAATAGGTCATATCTTATAAAATTAATTTATAAAACACTTAGAATTTTGTTATTTACATGAATCTAAACTATGAGTGTGGATTTAAAGTAAAATTTAACGATAAAATAATATTATAATAAATCAAAGTAATATTTTTTAGAATACGCATATATATATATATATATATATATATATATATATATATAATAATAAAAAAATCTATATGAGAAGACAAATAAAATTTGAGGGTGAGCATTTTCAATAAAATGAACAATTTATATAAAGAAATTCAAATTTTAATATGGACACAATAAAATTTTAGAGTGAACACCTTCAGTAAATTAAACAACTAATATAAAAAAAAATCATATTTTAAAATAAATACGTACATACTTAAGATGTACATGCATCCATCAATGTATTTAGTGTAAACATAATTATTTGTACGGATTCCGTATTCCCTTCAGTCATATATTTCATAGTAAATGGTGACTATAGAGTTCAATAATTAATATTACTGCTGGGCCTGGTTCCTGAGAAAATGAGCATGGAGTTAAAGACAACCCTAGAAACAAGAGTCCCCCAAAACGGTATTTTTCTCGAAAATCACTAATGATCGGTATATTTTTGATCTAATATGGTCATATTATATTTTGATCTAACACTCGTAGTAGTAAAGCGCGCCCCATGTCCCGCGTTATATGTTGATTTGGCGCCATTTGGGGTATAGCGCCCCTGCATCGCGCTATACGCTGAAATGGATTACACGTGGGTATAGCGCGGCCCATGATCCGCGCTATACCTTTAATTACCCACTTGTCCACACCCCAATCCTCCCTATAAATACCCCAATCCTCAATCACTTTTATCACACCAAATTCTATCAAATACTCTCTATGTTTAAGATATATTTTATAATATTTTTAATATTATGTATTTAATTTATTTAAGTATTTTACTTTATTTAATATTTTAATAATATAATTCTTTTGCAGATATAATGGAAGGCAGTCTACTTCGCTTGGATGGAAATCATATATCTCAACACTTTGCTGATACGGTAACATTTTAACGTTTTAATTTAATTTAAATTATTAGTAATAATTAGTTGATTTATTTAATGCATGATTATTAGATTAAGAATTAATTTTTGTAATTATTTATTTTTAAGAGAATGACGTGTATTAGATCCTTTTATTAGGAATCTTAAGTTAGTGATACCTAGTGTGTCTTGTCGTATTTAGTAGAGGTTGGATTTGGTTACATATGTAGATATCAGGTCATTGTAAGATAGAACCAGACCTTATTTCTACCTTAGTAGAGCGGTGGAGGCCGGAGACCCACACATTCCATCTTCCGTGTGGAGAGTGCACGATCACGCTTGAGGATGTTTCTATGCACCTGGGGCTTCCGGTGGATGGAGATGTGATATCAGGGATAGCTTCCGGTTCTTGGACTACTTTGTGTCGAGATAATCTAGGGCGTGTCCCTGAAAGTTTTATCGGAGGTAGGATACCATTAAATTGGTTAGATGCCAATTTTCGGGAGTTGAGCGCAGACACCTCTGAGGATGAGGTTAAGATGTATGCACGGGCATGCATATTGCAGTTGATAGGAGGATTGCTGATGCCGGACAAATCGCAACCTAGTTCACTGCATGTGGTTGCGACATCTTAGCGACTTTCGTCTCGCCGGATCATTCAGTTGGGGCTCAACAATTTTGGCTTTGCTGTACAGGGAGATGTGTGGAGCCACTGACTACAGGCGTAATGCTATCGGTGGATGTCTCCTGCTGCTACAGTCTTGGGCATGGTATCGATTGCCCTTTTTATGTCCCCTTATGAAGAACCCATTCGTATTTCCACTACTTCTGAGGTAATTATAAAACTGATTTTATATATTAATAATTTTATACAGCGTATAATAATTTTTTTTCCTTGAATAGGTGGTTTACTGATAGGAAAAATCATCAGGAGCTACCTGATGATTTAGAAAAAATTAGGGTGCTAATCGATTAGAAGGCTGGCACACAGATATGAATTTTAATGTTTAAAAATCGATTTTAGATTATAGTTATATAATTAGATTATTATTTTGATAAAAATTATATATTATTTGCTTTAGTTTGAACGGGTGCCATATTCTACTGATGATGTGAGGGAGGTGATCCCACCTGAGTTGAGGGGTCCATCAGATGTTTGGATGGTGATGGTCCCTCTGATCTGTTATGCGACCGTCGAGTGGCACTCCACTGATCGCGTGCTCCGGCAGTTTGGTTGTTTTCAACCAATTCTGGATGCACCGCGCAATATGGACGAGTTGCATAGCTTAGATAGACGCAACAAGACAGATACATATTGGCTGGTGAGGCATCATGAGTGGGTCGTGTTGTGGGAGGATCGACATCGGCGCCTTCCCCGTAGAGAGCCCATTTTTACTGACTTCTTGATGTATGCTGAGGGTTATTATGAGTGGTTCAACAGTAACGGGAAACCGTTTCTGCTTCCCAAGGATGCACGAGGGCAGACCAGGGACCGCGTTAAATATAATTACCCCTACGTGGCGTATAGCGCGGCCCCTGATCCGTGCTATACCCCTATATGGCGTATAGCGTAGATCAGGGGCCGCACTATACACACGTGTAACCCATGTCAGCGTATAGCACCCCCTGTATCGCGCTATACCCCATTTGACGCCAAATCAGCATATATCGCGGTTCAGGGGGAGCGCTTTACTGCTACGAGTGTTAGATCGAGAAATATAATCTGACCGGTGTTAGATCAATAAATATATCGATCACCGGTGATTTTTCAGAAAAAACACCAAAAAAAAACACCCCTTATTCCCTTAAGACTCACCCTGACCCTATTTCTTTGGTGTAGGTCCCTACTACAATTCTCGATGCATCCTCACCCTCTCCATTAAAACAAATTATTGATATACAACTTCCGGTTAGCATCACACCCTGGAGAAATTAGGGACATTGACTCCATATCAGTAAAAAAGTTTTAAAATTTAAAAGCGGTGAAAATAGATATTCTACGAGTTATACTATCAAATATATCTTATGAGAAGATGGTAATGACGGTGTAACGAGTGATAATTGTTTAATTTTATGATAAGTGTCTCGGCAAATGAAATAAGATAGATGGTATTAGAGCTAAGTAGCTAGCGTCAGTTAAGAGTTGTTAGTAGTCAGTTAAGGTAGTTACAAAGCTTCTAGACTAGAACTAAGCTTCTGTTAGCTGCTATAAAGCAATGTAATCCGTTTACTGGAATGAATGAGAAGTATTCAATGTTCTTGAATATCATGCTTAACCAGTTTCCTAACATGGTATCAATCGCCATAAGTTCCTGGAGCCTTCTGTTTTCTTTCTACGGGCGTTCTTGTTAGTTCATCGTGCTTGTTGGCGTAAAAGGTGGTTGTTCAGTAGTTCTGAATGGCCGATGATTCCTCCACTTCCCATCGAAGAGATCCCATTAAATCATCAGTTGGGAACGTAGCGGCTCAAAGACGACGGGAAAAGGCGGTGATGGTGGGGAAAGAGAGGAGAGAATCGTTGGTCCGAGCGAAACGGTTGTGTAGAGTGGGAGCCACTGGTGACGACGATGTTCCCGTCGAGGGAAATGATATGATAACTGATAAAGCAGGGTTTCTTTTAGATGCCCAAACTTCTACAGCTGTGGATGAGTTAAAATCCGCTGCTGCTTACCAGGGGAAAGGTGCAATGCAGAAGAGGGTAAATTCACTACGTGAGTTAAGGCGATTATTGTCAAAATCTGAGTTCTCTCCGGTTGAAGCTACTCTTAAAGCTGGAGCTATTCCCCTGCTTGTGCAATGTCTTTCGTTTGGATCTCCGATGAACAATTGCTCGAGGCAGCTTGGTGTCTTACAAATTTTGCAGCAGGAAAACCGGAAGAAACAAAAGCTTTGATGCCTGCATTACCATTCCACATTGCACACCTTGGAGAAAAGAGTTACTTGCTTGTTGCCAAGCAGTGTGCCTGGGCATTAGGCAGTGTTGCTGGTGAAGGGGAGGAGTTGCGAAATGTTCTGCTATCTCAAGGTGCTTTGCCACCTCTTGCAAGCATGATGTTGTCAAACAAGGGTTCAACTGTGAGAACAACAGCTTGGGCATTGTAAAACCTTATCAAGGGACCTGATCCTAAAGCTGCAACATAGCTTATCAAAGTTGATGGAGTACTGATGCAATTCTTCGGCACTTACGAAAAGCGAATGAGGAGCTGGCCACTGAAGTAGCATAGTAGTATAATTCTTTTGTGTGTGTAAACAGAAGTTTAATTTTGTATTCATTTTGTTGCTTTTATCTCAAAGTGTCATGGGACTTCACAGCCAAGAGTCCATAAAAAAAAATATGTCAAAGAACCTTGTAAAAGAGGGTGAAGAAGAAAGAAATGAAGGTGAATAAGAAGAACGAAAGGAAGCATCAGCACTTTCGATTCAAAATGAACGGAAGGAAGCATCGGCACTTTCGATTCAAGAAGAACGAAAGGAAGCATCGGCACTTTCGATTCAAGTGAACGGAATGAAGCATCCGCACTTTCGATTCAATTGTTCATCTTTTCAATTGTTCAGGGCTAAGATGTGCGTGTTACTTTATTGAAGGAGGAGGAGAAAGTAGAGGGAATATTAGAGCTAAGTAGCTAAGGTCAGTTAAGAGTTGTTAGAGCTGTTAGTAGTCAGTTAAGGTAGTTACAAAGCTTCTAGACTAGAACTAAGCTTCTGTTAGGTGCTATAAAGCAATGTAATCCGTTTACTGGAATGAATGAAAAGTATTCAATGTTCTTGAATATCATGCTTAACCAGTTTCCTAACAGATGGCAATAGTCCGTGACAAGATTGAGCGTTACAACAGCTCACTAGTATCAGTCAAATAGATGGTTTGACCCTTGTTTCATTCTTATTCTCTCAACAGCCAACAGTCAGCAAGCATGGAACCAAGTTTAGTAACGCTAGCTTCCCATTCTCTCAGTCCCAGACCACGAATAACGCCTGCTTTCAGTTTGAACACTTGTTCTTATATATACTTTCATAGTTTTATAGAATTAGTAAAATCTAGGTTAGATAGTAGCATAAATGCCATTTTAAGACTTTACAACGTGAAACAAACAAGTCAGATCCCATGAAAGATACCTTACATGGATTCACAAAGTAAACATTCTCTCTACTTTTTCTTCTTCTTCTTCCCGTTTCCTTTGAGTCTTGTCATATCATTGGCTTCGTTTTAAGTACTTTAGAAAGTACACTTTTTTATGAATGGGGAGAGATGGAGACGGTGGTTTTTTTAGGGAGTGAAAAGAGGGGGAAAGAAGAGATCATCGAGAAGAGATATCAACTGTCAAGTGGAGGACACTGTAATCTTTATGCTGCAGGCTTTGAATTCTCAAGATACACACATTTAAGAGAGAGGAAGCGCCAGAACATGGGCTGTTGGGACCCATGGTGGTGGGGAAAGACATCAAGATTCGACAATGTTAAAAATTTTGAATCGAATTGAATTGATTTATAATTTTATAAACACAAGTCGAATCGAAAATTTTTTAGATAAAATTTGAATTATAAAATAGAATTCAAAACTTTTAAGTGGGTTAATTTTAAAGTTAAATTGATTATTTCAACTTTACATTATATATGTATATTACACCTGAAGAAATATATATATATATATATATATAGAGTATGATTATAGGATAAATTAGAATCCATTAATACCACAATATTATAAATATTTTTCATTAAACTTAAACAGAAATTCAAACAACTAGACTCGAGTTGAAAAATTTCAAATAAAGTTTAAATTATAAAATAAGAATGATTGACTCAATTCATTCAAATAATTTAACTTTACTCGACTCAATTCGATCAAATACATATCCGACACTGTCCATACCTTTGATCATCTAACCCTAACCCAACAACACAGTCCATGACTTTGTCATCTAACCCTAACCCAACAACACATTTGACTACACCCCAATATCATAAAATCAATCCAAGTACGCCCTCAGATCTAAACCCATAATCCACCTCTCCTTCTACCCTTTTCTCTTCCTTCCAAACCCTTAATCAAAACTTATCTTCTTACAAGGGAAGCAGATCACTTCCATGAACTACCAATGAATAACATGTCATCTCAACTCACATGGAAGAGTGGATAGAAGATAGATAGGCTTGATTCAGCTTAAAATTTGGTGTCAGGTGCTTCAAACCACTTCTCTTTCCCTTTTTTTGGTGAAACCTGTAGGCTGTAGATATTCAACTATTCAAAGTAACCTCCAAACAAAAATAGGAACTATACATCTTTTTTCTCTTCTGAAGTTCTGATCTATCAGAATTCAGTTGATTGATTCTTGTACTTTAGGTTTGAAATTTGAAGGGGAAGAATAAAAATGGATCCAATAACATCTCATGGCCGTCACCTCCCTCCTTTCCTCGCTAGAGATCTTCATCTTAATCAATTCCAACACCACCACCAACAGCAGCAAAGTTCCGAAGACGAGCAAAACGTTGGTCAGAAACGAGATCGAGAAGAAACGGCCACCACCACCGCGACCGACACGGGAGTAGGGAAAGAGTTAGCCTTATCCGAAGGCGAAAACACTAGGAGACCGCGCGGCAGGCCTGCCGGTTCCAAGAACAAGCCTAAGCCACCGATCATCATAACCCGAGATAGCGCCAATGCTCTCCGGTGCCACGTTATGGAAATCGCCAACGGCTGTGACATCATGGAAAGTGTTTCGACTTTCGCCTGGCGAAAACAAAGAGGGGTTTGCATTCTGAGCGGTAGCGGAACCGTAATGAATGTAACCTTGAAGCAGCCTGGAGCTTCTCGTGCAGTCATGAATTTACAAGGAAGGTTCGAAATTTTATCTCTTTCTGGGTCGTTTTTGCCTCCTCCGGCTCCGGCGGCTGCATCGGAATTGGCCATATATTTAGCAGGCGGTCAAGGTCAAGTAGTAGGAGGAACCGCGGTGGGTCCACTTGTTGCTTCGGGTCCGGTGGTGGTTATGGCAGCTTCTTTTGGTAATGCGGCCTATGAAAGGCTTCCATTGGAAGAAGAAGAAGAACAACCAGTGGAGCCGCCGATTCCTGGAAGCGGAACCATAGGATCACCGGGAAGCATGGCCACTCAACAACAGCAGCAGCAGCAGCAACTATTGCAAGATCCCAATAGATCTTTTGCTCAAGGATTGCCATCAAATCTTCTAAATTCAGTCCAAATGCCAGCCGATGCCTATTGGGGCACAGGTCATCCCCCTTATTAACAAAAAACACAGAAAATTTCGTGTTTTAAATTTCCTTCTTCATTTTTCCTCCTTAATTTTCTTTTTCACTCCTTGTTAGTTTATTCCCCTTCTTCTTTTATAAAATAGTTGATGTTTTAAGTTTGATCATCATGGCTTTGATTTGTAGAAGGATGTACAAATTTCCTGGAACATTTCTCCCTGCTGTGGTTTTTTTTTCAGTAGTCTTTCCATAAAATGGTAGCCCTTTTCTCAGTTTTGCTCATCATAGTAACTTAACGATTAAGAAGCACCAGAAGCATGCAAGTCATTTTCTCTTTGCTGTAAGAAAGGCAAAGGAGATGGGAAGTTATGGGCTTAGGGTTTGCTGTCTTTTCCATGCTTTGATAATGCTATAGGTTTCATTATGGAATCAGCCTGTTCGGTTACACGTGCGCTGCTCTGCAAGAAAAATAAGAGAGCTCCTTTCCGAGGCAACCATTTCCATTTCCCTGTATAATTCCCATGTAAAAATGCCAAGCAAAGCAACACCAGTAACAAGCACGACAAACTGGGTCTGAATCTGATCCTCATGCATTAAAGTTTCATCTTTCTCGAGAAAAAAAAACTGTCACTGCCACTATACGTGTAAAATGGCATGGACTGAATCAATTAGACAAGGTAAGTTCATGTTTGCTATTTTACTTCATATAATAGAATAATTGATAAAGAGGTTGTTTTTATTCTCATTGAATTATCAGATTTTTTTCGTAGTTCATCAATATTAGTTTCACGTAGGTTTTAGGGTTTAGGTTTTAAAGTTTTAGGTTTATAATTCAAGGTTTAAAGTTTATAGTTAAACATGAACTAATTTACCTTAATAGTTAAATGAGCCATTATTATTTTTAGAGGTCACGATTTCGAGCACCGCTGAATATAACAAAGTGATTGAGCGGTCAATGTCAATTAGTCGAAAATATTTGTTTCAATTAGTTGAAAATATTTAAAACAAATATTATTTTGTAATCACCTTAGTTTAATTAAAAAATTATAGTTAAAGATTAGAATAACTAAGATTATGAAGTATAAATTTTAGATGATAGTGTATCAAAAGAATTTCCTGCATAATTAATTTCTCTTAAATTTCAGTGATCCTCCTTGGCAGTACATGCATAGCATGGAAACCCTCTTTTAGGCGGCTCTCACAGTGAAAATAAGCCCTAAATGAAAATCTAACCTAGTAAAATTTATTTTTGATTAAGTGTATATATTTACAGGATTCATTTATATTTTATGTGTATATATTGGTAATGGGGTCAGAGAAAATTAGAGTTCAGGTTCCCCATCATTAACATGGATCCTTCGATTCCTTGAAGTACAACACACCTCAAGAATTATTACAATGTAAAATGTCAAGATTCCTTTGTTTTTCCTTTTTCCATTTCCTTTTCTAGTAGCTATCTCCTGAAGTGAAACTCAAAGAGCAAATCATATATAATTGCCACATTTTAGACTATAAATTAAATGCCTCCAGGCTCCATCCTTACCGGTTTAATACTAAAGTGCATCCCATTATTTAGGAAAATATGTTAAATTTAGTTTAATATGTTAAAAAAATAATTTTTTTTGCATACCCGTTATTTTTAAGAAAAGAATATTAAAAGATATAGAATTGCATCCCCATATATATATATATATATATATCTATAATCTCATTGTACATGATCCCAACATTGTCCGCAAGCTCTTTTATAAAATTTTATTACATAAAATTTTGATTTTTTTAAGAAAAAAAATAGATCAAAACTTCAGTATCCATGCAAATTTGTTGTTCGAACACGGGTTCGTTTAAAAATAAATAAAATTTTCTTAACTACTAGCATCACTCTAAACTTCATCACTTTTGAACTATTAATCTATTCAATAGCTAGATTATCTTTTAAACTTCTCAATTATGAGATATTTTTGATAAAAAAGTATAATACCCAAAATAATATGGAATTAAAAACAAGGTATATCACAAATTTTGTCACTAACTTTCATTTCTCTCTTAGCCACCTAGCTTTAAAAATGATGTGATAATGTAATTTATATAGAAAGACATATAAAAGTAATTTTTGTATACATATAAAAGTAATTTTTATATCTTTTTCTATCTTTCATTTTCTCCCTCTACTAGAACCAACATAAATTTAGGTCACTTTTTTTTAATAGTAAGGTGGTAGAGCCAATTACATAATAGGGCGTTAGGCCTCAGATAGGGAGGCTCTTGAATATCACGAACAAGAGTGTTTTGGAGATCTGGAGGTGCTGCAGAGAAAAGCCGAGTAAGACCGTCTGTGCTGCGAGCAGCTTTTGCGAGATGGTCAGCAACTAAATTGCTCTCCCTTTTAATAAGTATAAAATCTAGAAATTCCGAGAGAGAAGCTGGCCAATCATGCGGACGAGGAGCAATGAGGATGCCAAGAGATTAGGAGCTGTAAACAAGTTATAAGTCTCAGTGCCATCAGTTTGACATTGAATCTTCCTATAACCAGAAGACCAATATGCCTGTTGAAACCAACCAGCCAATCCCCGTTGTGGTTACGAACCAGGTCACTTTTGTCGCAATCAACCATCGTGCCAACTATCATTTTGACCATCATCGTTCATAATCAATGAATCCTAAAAATTCTCACCAAACTCTTATCGTCCTCTTAAAAACAAATTCGATGTCATTTAATTAAAAAAATATCTTAAATTCCACAAATCCAGCATTGAACACTTTCATTTTTTGTTGTTGTTTGATTTTTATTGTCTATTATTGGATGGAGTTTGAACATAGGTATGTTGCTCCCCACCCCAGTAGGAGTCTCTCCACCATTGAAATGGTTGATCTTTTATTATTAGATCGCATTAAATGGAAAATTTAAATATACCTCATAATTTATATATTTAACTCTCAATATTATCAAATATACAAATTATTTATTAAATATTTTAAAACTGAAATTAAATTAACATAATGTATAAATATTAAAGATTAAATTTATTATCATATCAATTAACGTTAAATATAATCAATGAAAAATATTAATATTAATCAGTCATCCTTAATTGGAGATTAAACCTATTCACCCAATTATGAAATTGAAAGACTAAAAGGTCCCCAGTCTTTCCTCTAAACCCATCCTATCTCCCTACAGATTTTCCTCTCCCTTGCTTCCGTAAACTTAACCCACCAATGGTTCTTGCTTTGATCTTTCATCAGCCCTCAATCGTGGAAGGGTCTTACCATCACTGGACTCTCGCTAATACAAATCAACTAGTGTCTTCTTCACCCCCGTCAAATTACGTGGTCAGTGGCACTATAATCTACTAGCTCGTCCGATTTAATGTGGAATAGTGCCGGCAGTGAGACTCCGGTACCACCGCCTCTTGGTGTTGTAAATCATTTGCTCAATTCAGTTTACTGCATTTGGCGAAACTAGAGATGGGAAATAAAGAATGAATAACGAGTAGTTTAATTCTAAACACACAATCAATGAGCTCCCCTTTCAACAAGACGAAAATTTGATCGCCATCCCTTTCACCTGAAGGAACTTCAACGAATAACCTAGAAATAAATAAATAGTATTGCAAACCACCGTTGATTTTTGCTGTGGATGCTCTTTCAGAGCTGAGAATATTACATTAATCTCTCAACCTCGACGACTATACAGAGGCGAGATATGTTTGCTTTCCTAGCATCACTTTTAGAACACGTTAGGCCCAAAACTTTACCTCGATCACAATTCACAACTCTATCCTTAGCCGCCTCATTTCAGCTCGTAATACGGGGCTTGAATTCAGTGTTCGGCGAGCAAGACTCCTGATGTCCTCACGAGAACAGTCCCTTGTTATGCGAACCAGCTCCCAGAGGGCACCTCCATTTATCATGTCCTTTTCATTTACTTCTGAAATTTTAAAAAAGTTAAAAAATAAAGGTCCTTGATGGAACCTGTGATGTGTTCGATGCTTCACTGATTTTCGTTGATGGAGAATTCGACTTACCATGCTGTGCCAAATGACACAGTGCGAGCTCAATGTGTCGCCTAATAGGTGCAGCATCGTTGGTAGCATTTTGCACAATCCATGGAAGTGCGCCTTCATCAATGAGAAGTGATTTCCCACTTCTTATACCTAAAGTAACACGAGAACTATGTTGAGATCATTTCGTGCCAGACGCTAAAACTTCAGAATAAACACAGCTTAAATCGCATTCAAACTTCAGAATAAAGAAAGCTATGGAGAAAGATGGGTAAAACTTCACAGCAGTCAACACTCAACTATGGCATGCAACAGATCGAAAACTTACCATTACTAGATGCACGGGATTCACATTTTGCGAAGTTGGCAATTCCACGTGCAATTTGAGAAAGAACATCAGGATGTCCGCATCTTACCATTCCCAGCAATGCCTTAATTCCACCTTCAGACCTCAGCATTGCTTGCAGTTTATCTGGAAGAAGCATGAGCACGTGTGAAAAGCAGAAAGAACAGCATAATTCAGACATAACCAAAGCCAGATTTAACAGCAACCTCAAGCATTACTAGAAGTTATCCCGGAAGCCTAAATGGAAAAACCAAAGGTGCGACAGATCCCGGGAGATGAATTATATAAAAACAGCAATTCAAATTTTACTGAAGATGGGAAACACTACAAGGTAAGAACCAAAAACTTATAAGTAAAAGAGGTGGTAAAAAGATAAAGTAAGATACCATTCCCACACAGGTTAGCTATAGCTCCAGCAACCATGCGTAGAGTCCGGGGATCCTCAGCATCGGATGCTGTAATAGACAATAAACTGATTCCCCCTTGAAGCATTATCAGTTCTTGATTGGCTTCTGCTTTGCGTAAAAGAAAACAATGAACCAATCTAATCAGAGTGATAAGACGTATGTACTCAAAATGATAAGGATATTTATAAAAATATTTTACCATTCATTGCGAGATTGGCAATTGCACCAGCTGCTACTCTGCGAACAGTTTCATCCTCGTAGCTTCTTAGAAGTGTTAGCAAGGAAGTAAGACCACCAGCTTCAACAATCCTTTCCTGGTTTGCTTCTGAACAGTAAATGGAAAGCGCCCCTCATTAATCACAACACCAGTGATATACTTATAAAAACGGTATCATCATCACAATAACTGGATTTCTTTGAGAGATTTATCTTTTTATAACAGGGATAAAGAAGCAGCCTCTTCATACCAAAAGGGGTGGGAGCTTAGCTTGGCCAACCAACATAAGCAGAATACTTAAGTTGCAACAAACAAGGTACATAAAATGGTCCAATACTCATTTTATTGCTCACATTTCATTATTTTACCCAAAGCACCCCTTAATACAAGTATTAGCAAATAACACGCAAGGTCTACAAGCAATTTTCCCAAAAGACAAGACAACTTATGAAATGCGAAGCCAAATCTTTTGCTCACCTTCAGCTGCTAGGTTGGCCACAACCTTTACAGCATGAATGCGTACATTTGCATCTTCTGACTCAAGCAAATCCAAGACCTTTTGCACTCCAACTGGTAAATTGATATAAAGCAATAAGAAATTCATGGGAAAAAAAAACTTTACGTGATATTGGGGGGGGAGACATTTTATCACCTTGATCGAACAATGCAGAAACTGGTGTCTTATGTCCATTATCACTAACTTGAGACATTGGAGAGTCTAAACCAGTATAAGCATTTCCAGGTCCACCTCCAGAAAGACACCTTCTCATCTACATAATAAAAAAAGGAGATAAGCATATATGTCCGCTTGAGTTTGAATGCCAAGGATGGACAAGAATGATATGTCTTACAGTAAATACACCAGAAAGTTCACTGTAACACATGAAGGGAAAAAACCATCAAACAGACATGCTTCAATCTTTATAAGCTAAGTTTCATACAAGAGGCAAATTTGTATTAGTATAGGGATCCAAGTTTTTGACATTGTGATTAGGGGTGTATTCGGTTCGGTTTGGTTTTTTACCAAAAATTGAACCGAACCGAAATAAACGGTTTTTCAATATTTAAACCGAAACCGAAAAAACCGAAACCGGTTTTTTCGGTTCGGTTTATCGGTTTTTCAATGAAAAAATCACTTAAAACTATAATTTTTTAAAAAAAAAATGCCTATTCGGTTCAATATGGAACAAATGGGTTCCATATGGAAAACCCGAATCGAACCGAATCTAAAAAGTGAAGCCTTTAAACCGAACCGTATAATGCCGAACCGAACCGAACCGTTTTACTCGGTTCGTGTGTTTTCTCGGTTTCGTTGCTCAGCCCTAATTGTGATAAGATATTGGATTGTAATGTCAATGAGAGATGTCAACTATGAAAGCTCAAAGACTCTACACTACGAGTATGAATTACAAATATTGGGGTTTCACTTGTATTGAGAAAAAGAATTCAACAATGCAAGAAAAGAAAGCTTAGCGGTTATGAATCAAATACCTGATCAGCTTCAAAAGTAAGTTGTAACATCTGACTTCGTAGTACTACAATTTCTTCTTCAAGCTTCCTTTTTTGAAGAACCTCATCCTCCAGAGCTATCTGGAGCTTTAAGATTTCAGCATCTACACCTGCCTAAAACACGAAATCAATCCTCATATAGCCAGTATTAATAGAAGTTCATAACTTCATATAAATTTATTTGTTATTCACATAGCAAGTATACCCCTGCATCTGTACACTGCCCTAATTGACTCCTAAGTTTGTCAACCTCCTTTTCAGCTTCCTTTCGCATGTGAGTTTCTTTCTCTAGCATTTTTTTCACCTCACCAATGTCCTCGCCAATTGAGGAACCAGGCCCCTGAAAATTATGATGAAGTGAAAATATGTTAATTAAAGGTAAACACTAGATGACCCAAAATCAGATGAACCCATTTCATACAAAGACCATTATACTTTCATCATCAGGCAACTAATATTTGTACACCAATATCAAAAACAGTCTTTTACCACTACACTGAATGCCAGCCAAATGAGTGAACAACAAGAGATAAATACGTATTTCATATATTGACAGGACATAATAAGGTAAACTCAGTTAATCATTTTTCCAATAAACTCCTCTAAAAGAAAAAACTTTGAAGTTCTGTGACAATTACTTTTAGAGATAATCAGACACAATACGAGACAAAAATCTGACCAATGGATGAAACTTTAAGCTTCATACCCCATAAAATTAGAAAAGACATGGCTCACATTGGGCATGCTACTAATATCTAAAGTGAAACTTAAAACACAAGTAAAAATGTAATGGTCAGCTTAGGAAAATCTGCACAATTCCTTGATGATGTTATTGAAAAGAAACTGCATAATGTCATAATGCATTGAAACATATATGGTTCTCAATGCGTAGTACCTCTCCATTACATTTATCCATCGTTAAGCCACCACACCCACACTTCCGTTGATTTTCTATCATCTTTTCCTCCAGCATCTTAACTGATCCCATATATTCCATCTGGCACTTTAGTCGTTCCTTCTGTAAACAGAGCACGTCAGATGTTCAACATCAATACTCTCAGGCAAGTATTGTTCAGGAATAACTGAAAACAAAAAACCATGAGGTTGACAAATCTCCTATCTGAGAGGATAACGAACCTCTAAGGCATCCGTGAAATTTCTTTCAGCCTCAGAGACACGTTTTTCAGCTTCTAAGTTTGTTCTTTCAACTTCATCATCAAAAGCTTTCTGTTGCCTTTCATTTTCTGCAATTAGCTTGTCCATATGTATTTCAAGCTTTCTAGCCAAACTTTTATAATCAAACTCTTCCTTTATTTTCAACATATTTTCCACCTTCATTGCCTGTATAACAAGGAGTTAGCAAAATACCAGTAAAAGCATCTTCCTTCTAGATATATCGGAAACATTGTTAGACGAGACATGAAGAAATGAAAAGATAAAATTCTATGAAATGAAATTGGGATAGTTGAACAAGAACGAAAGTTGCCTTCACTTTATAATTGGTGTGTTGTTTAGCAGATATTGCATATACTACAGGTATATTATAGTTTGAGAGCTTTTTGAAATAAGAACTCACCCTTTGGCCAAACAAAATTGTACTTGCAGTCTCTCCTCGATGTCGTGGGGAGGGGCCAATGGTCACAATTAATGAGGTTCGGGCAGTGCCTGCGATACAAAGAATCTACCCATAATAACTCTGTGAAACATACAACTTGCTAGATATTAAAAACCATACCAAATATATTAAAAATAAAAGAATAGATCATAAACATCTTCCCCATAAAAGCTTTTAGTTAGGTTAAAATTTAGCACATTCTCACTTAAATGACATAAAAGATAACTTACCTCCAAATGAATCTCTGAGCAGCCTTGTAAGTTTTGAATCACGAATGGGCACATGAGAACTATTCTCAGCTAAAGCATTAATACACTTTCCCAAAGCACTCAGTGACAAGTTAATAGACTTAGCTTCCTCCAACATGTGACCCTCGCTTCCTGCCAAAAACGAAATGAATGGAACTCATCATCAACCATTGGGATTGAACTCATGAGTAAACCCAGCACCAGCACTTGAGAAAGTATACAGCTTTATATAGGTAATATGGGAAATACAAATTTAGTTGCGCAAGACATAAGATGCAATGCTAACAAATTTTAGGTGGTGAAAAAAGAAAATGCTCCCTATTATGCAGCATGGAATTGACTTGACACTGGAGGGCAAAAAAAGCCACGATATGCACCTGACTTTTGGACGCGCTCTGAGCCTGCCAAATCTACCAAAACCAGTTTGCTTTTCCGGACAAGAGGCTTTGGAGGTTTGGCAAAGTGAGAAGACTTCTCTGTTTCACTTGGATTGGAAGCTTCTTCTCCTATGACTGACCTCTTAATATGTACCTGCACTAACATAATTGAATATATATTATTTCACAAAAAGAACAACAGCATAAACGACTACAGGAAGCTAATGAAAATTTAGTGCATAAAATAGGAAGCAGAAGTGAAAATTTACTCACCATCAAAATAGCATGACTGCGAGAAGATTCAGTATTCAACTTTGTATTTGCAGCAATTCGATGAGCCTCCCCTAACTTCAATAGCTCCAAAACACTCTGTTCATCCCTGATTTCTACATGAGTTGCCCCCGGCAATGAAACGTCTCCAGTTCTGGGATCTTCCACAATGGAAATATTATCATTCGCTGGATCAAGGAGATCATGGATGGTCTCCATGTAAAGCTACAAGGAATCATTAAAATAAACCGGTAAAAGTTCTTACCAAGAATGCAGAAGCTCAACAGAAATAGCAACTTAAAGTTTAATAAAAATGTTAGACGGCACATAAACTTAAGGGAACAAGAGAAAATTTAAATATCCAAGAAGTATTTTCTACAAAATAGCACAATTACACATACATGATTCCATCAAAGAAATTACACTCAATCAATTGTTAGAATTGAGGCAACGAGAAATTGTAGAATAAAATTCATAAGTCTAACAACCTGCAGATAAGAAACAGAGACAGAATCTGTTCCTGGAGAAACATTAGTTAAAATCTCCTCCATTGAGCGAACCATTATTCCACGAGCAGAGGTATCTTCCTCACCCAATTGTCCAAGAGTAAAAGTTTTGCCAGTTCCAGTCTGACCATATGCCATAACTGTACCATTATAACCATCCAGAACACTCTGCGTAAGGCCAGAAACCCAAGCAACATCGATACAATATCTTGTAAGATTAATCCATATAAGCACTTCTTGCTCGTTAAGGCTAATGACAAAAATGATTAAGGGAAAACATTTGAAATAGAACAGACCTCCACAACAGGCTTTGCAACAACTTCGTAGACACGTTTTTGAGAGGCAAATTCCGTAAGCACTTCATCAAACTCGTATGTTTCTGATTCCCAATTGTTCTTCCTAAGTTTAAGCCTCTTAAACTACAGTAAACCAAGATTCATAAATTAAACGATTAAATGTAAAAACTAATAATTACCACCCCGAGTGAAAACAGCAAAATGAGATTTGAAGCTTTTATCTGTACCTCGGGCTGTAGTTCAACACAATCGGCAAAATCAGCATCGGCGATCGACTCTTCCGCATTCCGTGGCCTTAATCTGACGGCTACACGAACTCTTCCCGGCACTGTAGAAAATAATCGAGCACAATAAAACGCGACCATCAACATTAAATTGTTTCCTTCGTATTGCGGTATGGAAGTAATTAAAGTAAACAATTGAAACACTAACCGCCGTCCCCTCCAGCGCCGGAGGAGAAAGAGGCAGAGCTAGTCCGGCGAAGAGCAGATCCGGAAGAGTGATTGGACGAAGGAGGAAGTCTTGATTTGAACGAAGATGATCTGGCATTAGATGAAGATATAGGCTTAATAGCTCCCTTGTTCGTACCATTTCTATAACCATTGGAAGCCATCACTTTCCCCGGCTTTCAAGTTTGAAGTTCAATTGTTACAGTGACCAAGATTCGGCGAGGATTTGGATTCGGTGAATTCGAAGATCAAAAACAAAGCGATGGTGGTGGGATCGAGGACCCACTGCTTTGAAACGAGACAGAGACGGTCCGAGTATTACCTTCGTGGAGCCCTCCCCAAAGTTTAAATTTTCGAAATTACCAAAAAAAAAACTGTGGTTTTATTTGGCTTAATTTAGATGTCCAAATAATTACCTAAATTCAAGGGACTAAAAGATTTTTAATATTTTCAACGTTACAATTTTAATTTTAAAGAATAATAATTATTAAATTTAATTGTTATCTAATGATTATTCATTATTATCATTAATATAATTAGAATTATCCCACTGTCGCAATCAAATGTTTATCCTCGCCTATTGTAAAATTACCCAAATCGTCGTAAAAAGCGTTACGAATGATATTAAATTTTTAGTTTTCTTTTATTGTTTTACAACGATTCTGACGACTACAGTTGATTATACGTTATATGATTATTATTATTATTAAATTCATTATCCTACTCCAAACAAAATTTAATGGGTGATGGCTCTTTATCGTCTTTTGAATGAGGGGATGGGAGGGAGAGAGAAGACTAGGGGAGTTTTATTTTTATTTTTTTGAAAAAAATTATTAAAAAATTAATAAATATAATGATAAACAATTGAAAGCATAACATAAAATTTATTTTTAATAAAAAATTTAGACACACAAAAAAATATGCCAAGCCTTTTTATTTTATTTTGCGGTGCACTTAAAGTCCATCCATTGATCCTGCAGTGGACAGCGCGGCAGTTTATTAAAATGACAGGATTCTCCTTTATTTTGTCTCGTACGACCACGATCGTTACTCGGACAAATATGGAAAGTTATAGCAATATGGAAGCCTCAAATATTCTTCGTTATATTCCTGCGGTAGATCTATGATACAATGTACCGAGTTTGGCTGTGTTTGAACTTGATTCTTTCTTGTTGATACGGAGAAGGTGATCCTCACCCGAAGGGTCGAGAGGACTAGTGTGGACAGAAATTCATTTAAGACCAAATTTTCATTGTTTTTAATTAATTTTTAGAGTCAAAAGAATTGTTGTTACTAAAAATATTAAAATAATAAAGTTTAAAATAGTTTTTAAAATGAAAAGTTATTAAATTAATTTTTATAAAATTAGAAGTATAACTTTTAATTTTCAAATATAATTTTTTAGCATCATATTTAAAATAAAACAAAATAAAAAATAAATACCTAAATTATATTTTGATTCGTCAAAAAAATAATTATTAATTTTTTTGTTTTCCAATTGTTAAAGAAATTTATTGAACATTAGTTAGGAAAATAATATTTTTGTTTAAAATTCGGTTTTACTTGCGTAATTATTGTGAATATTTTTTTTTTCATTTTTTGATATATTACATCCTTATGGAACCAAAATATTAAAAAATTCACACACAAAAAACAGTTAAAACAGATTTTTTTTTAGAAAAGAAAAAAGAAAACCCCCTAATGTATGCTGGCTTCATGAAAAAATTCCTTTTATTTACTATTTTAATAATTTTGTAATAATATAACATACATATTAATTAGTCAAATATTCTTATTATGCATTGATTTATATAATTTTTAGATTTCTTTCATTTTTTAAAATTTGATCACACAAACTAATTATGCTGAGTTCATCCATATTTTTATGTAGGGATGAGTATGTGTCGGTTTTCGGCCAATCTGATTCGACCCGAAAATTTTACATTCTTTACTCGACTCAATCCGACCCGAAAAATATATACCCTCCACTCGACCCGAACTTTTAAGATAAAATCCGATCTGACCCAACCCGAAATAATAAAAATATTATTTTCATTCAATAAAAACAATGATTTAATTAAAAATAATATATAGAGAGATATTATTGTAATTATTCCTAAATATATAAGGTAAAATTATATTTTTTCCGGGTCCGGTTGGGCCAGATATTTTTTACCCTGAACTTAAATCTGACCCGACCCGAACCCAACTAAAAAAATTCAACCCGATCGGATCGGGTTAAAATCTGTCAGATTCAGGTCTCATGGTCATCCCTATTTTTATATATAATTTTATATAAATAAAATAAAAATATATTTTATTTTACATCTATAATTTAATTTCTCCTACAAGCTTCAATTAAATTAATTGAAAATTCACAGGATATTTTGATTTTATCAGCTTCAGACATTTTTGTTTTATTTTTTAAATGGCTTAAGGCACTTTTCAATGTCACAATCTGTAGACGATGGTACTTATTATGCAAAATATTTTTTTCCCATTCCACTCGCCATAATTCAAAAAATATATATTTTATTGTTCATGGAAATTGAATTTTCTAATAAGATTAATTTACTTGGCAAGACAAAACAATGTGAACAACTATTATCCAAGATAGATTTCAATATAGATTTAGTTCAAGGGATAAATATAAAATTTATACATAAATTTCAATTTAGGATAAAGTAAACAAATGATATTTTAATTATATGATACTATTTTATTTAGTTCTCTGACTATTAAATGTTATAAAATGATCTCTCAATTATAGTGTGTGCTTTATTAAGTTTCCCAACCAAAATTACAAAATGATCACCTAACAAGTCATATGTTCCAAACTCGTCATTTTTTGTTAAAAAACTGACGACCGTCTGAGCTATGATAAAATCTTATTTTAATGATGTCTATTATACCACCGTTACTTTCAAGTACTAGCTTAACAATATAATATTTCAAGTATTATCTCGACGACATAATATAAATAGAGGTTTGATCTACAAAATACACATCAAATAGTTTTGAGACAAGATTTTATCAACTCCTGGTGAACAAGTTAAAGTCCAACTCAGACGACCATCAATTTTTTAACAAAAAATTATGAGTTTAGAATATATAAATAATCAGATGACTATTTTATAGTTTCTATTAGTTGGGGAACTCAATAAAGTAGCGTCTTCTAGTTAGACGATTATTTTGTACTTCAATAGTTGGATGACTCAATAAAATAATACTCTAATATCGGAAGATCATATATGTACTTTACCCCAAAAGCATAATATGATATTGATCCTCCAAATATCGAGGCCCCGTGTATTTTCTTTGCACCAATCATTCTTTTAGATTTCATTACAACCAAAGTCGCACGCATGTGGTTTCATAAATTCGTTTTTACTTTGAATGCCTTAGGTTAACATGTTTCTTTATATATAAAAGAGAAAAAATATTTGGAGTTAAAAATAAGTTTTAATAGGGGTTGTTCATGTTTAATTATTTTGATTTTACTATGAAATTAAGCATTTAAATATAAAATAATTTAATCTAATTATTTAATTAAAAATCAAGGTTTTTGAGTATTCGGATCAAGCTAATATTTTAGCTCGAGGTCGACCCGTTAATTCGTGTAATTTAGCAGGCCAATTATCTAACACAAAATCTTTAATTCTTTTGGAAATATCCCTTTTTTTTGTATGGATCAACAGGTTGGTGAGTTAGATATTACAAGTCGAATATTTTAACACACTTGTGGGCTACTGAGTAATTTCGTTAGGTCCCGGGCTTAATGCTGGAACTTCATGTTGACAATAGCAAAAGGCCTAAGCTCATTGTCCATGTATTTGTTGGACTTACTTGTCAATGGGCTTTGCACAACTTTTATATGTCTCGAAAGGGATGAGCACGAGTCGAGTTGGATTTTCGGTCCACCCGACCCAAAATTTACAAATCCTCTGTCCAACCCAAAAGTTATACAACCTTCAGTCGATCTGAACCCGACCCGAAATAATATATTCATTAAAAAATATTATTTTTACTCAATAAAAATAGGGACTTAATTGAAAGAAAATAATATATAGAGGAGTATTATTACAATTATCCCTAAATATATAAGGTAAAATTATAATTTTTTGGTCAAATATTTTTAACTATAAACCCGAACTCGATCCAACCCAAACATAATCTTAAAAAGAACTCAGTCCAATCCGACATGAACCCGAATTTTTTTAAAAAAATCTGATCCGATCGGATTGAAACCCGTCGGGTTCGAGTCCCATTCCATCCCTAGCTCGAATACAAATATATTATCCATTAATTGGTGTGTTAATAAAGTACTCGGGACTACATCTCAATCTTTAAAGTTTATTTGATAGCCAGTAACATGAAATATCAAGGCCATTAATTGGTGGATATATGATATTATCTCTCTATATAATAAACGACCGAGGAAAATGGAGACAAAAAGTGGATATTCATTTGCTGAGTTTATTCCTAGTACGATTTTGAAGTATCCTTTAGTTTTAATGAATACATGCACTTACATTTGCATTGCATGGTCCATGTATCTTGATTATCATTTTTTTCATTTTTATATTGTTCTGTAGTTCGTGGGAGTGTATTAAAAAAATAAAAGTAATTTCAGTTTATTTTAACTTTTAAAATTATTTTGGATTTTAAGATACAGAGTCATGAACTCATACCTAATTATCTTTTATTCTTAGAATAATCGATTCAAATAATATTCTCATCCATATATTCATCCATTCAAGAGTTCTCAGCAAATTAAAGATGTAAAAACAACATGCATGCAGCTTTTAAACTCCATGTTATACCCCCATCATTGACACATAAAATACCCATCAAAACCCCAAAATCAAAGATAAACAACAAAGAAATAAAGAAACACCCCCTCCTTAACCAACTAGTCCTCTAATTCTTCCTCTCTCTTTCTCTATATATATGTATATATTAAAGGTGGTATTTTCATGGTTCTGAGAACTGATTCTGGGTAGGCAGGTAGCAGAGAACTTCTTTCGTAGCTGAGCCAATAGTGTTTGGTTCTCCAGGTGAAGGAGAAGGGCTTTCTTTCTCAGCCTCTCGTTTTCCTCTATGATGATCTGATTATGCACGTATAGTTTCAAGTTCTTCATTCGCATATCTGTTTTAACGCCGACCTCCGTCTTCTTTGTCCTCGCTTCCTTCCTTAATCTTCTCAACCTGTACATACAACACAACGTCCTTGTTACAAACCGGACACAGACAGCAAAACAACACAACAACAAAAATTATCTTTATTAAACCTGTCGAGCCTTCGAACACGAACATTATGCCGTGGCTTGCAAACACGTCCAGAAGAGTTAAACCACATGTTTTAAGATCGAAACGGAATCAAGAGAGAGAGAGAGAGCTGGGAATTGGAAGAGATGATTGTTGTGTGCATCAACTGGGGTGAAAACACAAGTGTTATATAGGTGGGAAATTGTGTTTGGATCTGAAAACAAAAATGAAAAAGGAAAGAAAGAGAGAGAAATGAGGTAGTAATGATGCACAAGGAATCATGATTACTTGGGAGCAGCAATAGAAGAAAGAATGGAAGGGTTTCTTTCTTCTGCGTTGTCTTTATGGAATGGTAGTACTATTATTAATAAACATGATCGAGTTTGTAAAAGACTTGAGGCACGCAGAAAATGACTATTCCTTCTCCATCTTCTTGCACCTTTTTGAATTTTAGGACTTTCTCCTTCGGTTCACCATGCATACCCAGATTTCGATCTATAGTGTATGATTCGCTGTATTCAAACGATTTGGTACAAGTTGTCGACGTTATCATTGCTTTAGAAGATTAACTTGACTCTTATCAATTGGATATGATTACTTTTTAGAAAATATTATTGATGTTTTACCATAATAACACGAAAAATTCGTAGTTACACTAAAAAAAAGTGTAATTGTTGATGGAAATTTTTTCTCATGGAATTTGTGATTGAATTTGATTTTATTAACAAAATTTTTGAGGGAAGAGAGTGATCATTAAAATACTGATGGAAACTAATATTTTTGAGGGAATAAAGTAACCCATCAGAAGTTTACTAACGGAAATTCGTCAGTATATTACTGAAGGAAAATTTAAAATTCATCGGAATGTTATATATAAATAAAATATTATATTTTATGTGTTAGAACTAAATCATAAATAAATATGAAAATAACTAGGATTTAATCATGCTAAACCATCAAGAATAAAATAAATACTATATTAGCAGAAGCGTACCTGAATTAATTGATATGTTGAAATCCTTGAATCTTTATTTGGTTGTGATATTCCAAGAAGATAGAGTTCACTTAATTATACTCTCTGACGGTGATAAGAGTAAATATGAGAGTATATATTTCTTGGGGACCATAACCCCTTTATATAACTAATTTAAGAATCAATTATTGTTTATACTTATAACTCTGCCCCTCATCAAGTTATAAATACAACTTTAATGTATCTACATTTTTATTTCCATGACACTTCTAATACCTTATGACTTTACAACATAATTGGTCACTTAATTCATTTCATATTTTATGATAATAATGTACATTATAAATATGTGCCCATAATTATGGATTTTAGTCTAACATTATGTTTCCGAAAAACATATCTTTTTCGTCGGAATGTTATATATAAATAAAATACTATATTTTATGTTTCCGATAAACATATCTTTTTCATCGGGATATTTAAAAATATGAAAAGAAAATTTAAAATTTTAATTTCCAATGGATTACATGTTTTCCGTCGAAAATTTAAATCTTAATTTCTTTTAAAAAAGGAGGGAAATTTTATCAGGATTATTCTCAACAAAATTTTCATTCCCTCTAAAATATTATGAATCCAAATTTTTATTTAACTAATTAATGTACCAAAAATTAATAATAACATAATTGAAATAATTATATTAATTTTAAAAATAGATAATAATAATAATACTAACAAGTCATAATAATATACAATGAAAAATTAAATTCACCGTATTATCTAAGATTAAATATGGATTTACAACATATATTTCACAATTCAATGTTTATAATAAATATAAATATATGGTTGTAAACTATACATAAAAATACAATATTCAATAATAAAAAAGAGTAAAATACAAAGTTTGCATACTAAAGAATGAGAAATGCATATAAATCAGTATGTTATAATTTCAAGTAGATATATAAAAGAAAATTAAATATTTAACATAATATAAATAAAAATGAGAAATGCATATAAATCAGTATATTATAAATGCATATAAATAAAAAAAGTAAAGGATAAATCCATATAAATGGTAATTATTTACCTGTGGTGATAATATTTTTTATTTTCATCGGTAAATTATAACAGATTTTAAAACATCGGAATTTTTCCGTCGGTAAATTGAATTTTTTTGTAGTGTTGGTTTATTAATGTTTCAACCCTAAACCAAGAAGATTACCTATAACCCTGAAATTTTATATTTTTAATTAGCAAGTTCGTTATGAGTGTTGACTGGCGGGCAAAAATGTCGGATTATCCATAATAAGAACCCAAAACTCATTCATTCACTACTACCATAAAAAGGAACAATGCGAAGTTCGGTGAAAAGCCAGACAAAAAATCCAACACGTTCTCCTCTTTCGACCTTTTTCACAAAGAAATCCTTGACGTGCAGGACTGGCTCAGCTTCGAACAAATTCATTTGTGCTTTTATTCGTATTATAATATTATTATGGTTAGTGATTTGTCAACTTTTATCATTTGTGCTCATGACTTTGATTACCAACGTTTTACAACCCTTCCCCCCCCCCCCTAACGCGTTTGTATATATATATATTATATATATATTATTTTATTCTAATTAACAAAAAGTTTGGATTAGTTAGTTTTGATTTTAGGGTTACTTACATGGTTCATCATTTGTGTTTGTGTTTTTGTAGATTTTTTCTTTTTGATTTTAAAAACATAAAATATGATCATTTTCTCTTTTATTTAATTAAGATACAACCACTTTCGTTTTTATTTAATTAAGATGTGATCATCACGGGTTAACTGTCGTTAACAGTTAACAGATTAGGTGACGTGACATTTAAATATTTTGATATAATCACACATTTGATTCATATTATTTACATACTCTCTTAATTTAGTAATACTTTCAATAAATTAAAATAAAGTTCATCCTCTTATGCACGTGTCACCATTCAATTAGAATATTAACTTTATTTTAATTTAATATATTTATTTTAACCAATCAGAGAATGATACGTATCACTCTCTTATCGAAAGAAAACAAAGCAAAGCAAATTGGGGCTAAAGGGATTCAAACTTGAGTCTCTTGAGAAATCAAACATTGTACTCAACCATTGAGTCAAGACAATTTTTAGTCTAAAATAGATAACAAGATGTATATGCTTTATATCTTAATGTATAAATTCTTATCTTAAATTCATAATATCTTATATATATTAACTTTAAGAAATATTTTTAATATTAACTGATTAAATATATTTTAATATTAATTCATTTAAAAATATTTTATTTTTAAAATATATATTTTGTTCTTATATAAACTATTTAAAAATATATTTTATTATTACTTTAATTTTTATAGTATATATTTTATCTTAATTTACTAAATTTATTATATTATTACTTTAAATTATTAAATAAATTTTATTCTTATCTTAAATTAAATATTTTATCATAAAATATATATTTTTAAATAAAAATAAAATATTTTTAAATTAAATTAATAAAAATAACTTAATATAAAAAATATTTTTAAAGTTAATATATATATAATATTATGAATTTAAGTTAAATATTTATACACTAAGATATAAAATATATACATCATATTATCTATTTTAAACTAACCACTGGTCTTGGCTCAATGGTTGGGCACATTCTTGGTTTTCCAAGTGACCGGGGTACAAATTCTTTTGGCTCCATTTTGCTTTGTTTTGTTTTCTTTCAAAAAGAGGGTGATATGTGTCCCTTTGATTGAGAAAATAAATAAATTTTAAAATAAAATTAGTCCTCCAACCGAATGATGACACATGGAACGACATTTGGCACTAGTGACACATGATATCATTCGACCGGAGGATTAAATTTATCTTAATAAATTAAATTTTAACTAAATTGAGAGAATATGTAAATAACAATGATCAAATGAATGATTATATCAAAATATTTAGCTACCACATCAACTAATTTGTTAAACATTAACGACAATTAACTCGTGGTGATCGTACCTTAATTAAATAAAAATAAAAATGATCATATATTGTGTTTTTTAAAACCAATAAAGTAAAGTGAACAAAACACAAACACAAGTGATTGATCATGTAATTGACCCTTGATTTTTTTTTTATAATTAGCTGAATCGGGAGGGATCGGAAATCCACATGTACAAAAGTGGGGGCCTTAAGAGGGAATTCAGAACAAAATGAGTAGTACGTTTTGTGATGTTATAATCATATTCTTATTTTCAATTATATAATCATATGGTACCCAGAGAAGGCTGTCTTAGTCAATGTGGTTAGCTTCTCCATTTGTCCATTCCTTTCATGTAATGTAATATTCAATGCGGTTAGCTTCTTGTAATGTGTATATATTTGTATAAAATTAATACAATTTTACATACAACCATGATATTTGTTATAATCAACATATTAAATTAACTACATGCTCCATAACTACTGGTAATGGATATGCTTAGACTATTGGACCAATAGGAACAGGGATGGCAAGGCTAAAGGGAGAAGAAATGATTTATGGTAAGAAAAACACATGAATAATAAGAGCAACATTTATGGATGATGAAAGCTATACTTGTCAACCCTCACTCCACCATGAACCATGAACCATGTGGTCCACATCACTATCCTCCCCATCCCCATTCTCTTTCAAATTTCTGACTCGAATGCAGTTGTCCCTAAATTTTTCTTCCTTTTTTTTGTTTCTATAATCATTAAACCTAAAAATATGCAATTACAGCACCTTCGAATATGCACATTGGTGTACCAATTTATAGAATATTATGCACCATTATACTTCATTTTAGTCTACATACATACCCTTCTTTAAAGCTTAGAAGTAAAACCCAAATAAGTCATGGGCCTCAGGGCTCGTAATACCCTTCATTTTAGTCTTGAGCCTTAATCTCACTACTCTTCTCTCTCCAGACAAGGTCATGGACAGGTGAATTCATTTGTAGTAACCAACTGATTCTTAACGACAGCTAAACGTATGCATAACCAAAGTTGAATAACCATGTGCAATCAAAGTGGAATTCACCAATTGAAATTAAGTCAATAACAGAAAACATAGTATCCAGTAACATACGAACTTGTCTAAACCAACTCAATGAACTCAAACATAGATAAGGGTGTGTGAATGAATATAGCTTTCAATTAACTTTGTTTATTAACTATTAATATAATATTTGTTTATGAATATGTGTCGCGGATGTCTTTCGGTTGAGCTCGGAATTGGGCTTCGACTTGGATTAAATGATTAGAGTCGCCACCGATAACTTTAAAAAACATTTAGGTGGATCGGACACCTTATTTCTTACATGATCTGCGTTTTTACCAAAGATGTGTCGGATTCGGGAGTCGGTTACGGTCAAAGAAGGATTAGCACCCTTGAACCACCCTTTCGGTACCAATTAATTCGTCGATTGTCTTTAATTGCGAAAATTAAAATTAAAATTTAAAACGTTCAATTCAAATTATTTACCTTTGATTGGTTGAAAAATATCCCTAAAGTCAAAATATATTAGATTGTAAAATAAAAATAAATATGAACAAAGGAAAAGAATATTAATATAATAATAGTAAAATAAATAAAATAAATAAAATAGATAACCAAGATAAATAAAAGTTAATAAAAAAAGAAAAATAAAAATAATAAAAATTAAAAAGGACCAAAATGAATGATGTTCAAAGATGGAAGGACTACACCAAGATTTAGCACTATATAACCCCAAATACACGTGGGTTATTAGGGGACCCAAAGCTGGTTGGCCGTGCTTTTTTCTCTTTCTCAATCCCATAATAAAATAAGAAAGCAAGAGAGAATGTCAGTCATGCTACATGGAATCCACTAAATAAACAAAAAGAATAGGGTTTAGCCAAATCAAATGTTGAGTACGCGAATTTCACCTGGGAGCTTCGGTTTCCCCCCTTCTCTCTCTCTTCTGCTTCCTCATCTCATCGTCCCATTATATTTTATTCGGCGTGATAGCTCTGCCAGAAAACGCGTATCCATCAAGTTCAAGCATCCATACGAACCACACAACGAAGACTCTCTGCCGCCAGCATGTAATCGCATGCCTTGTTGATCTCCCCAAATGGGATCGGGTGAGTGATGAATTTATCCAACTCAAGCTCCTTCTTGATATATCTCTCGACAACACCAGGGATATCCGATCGAGGTTTGTAGTTGCCGAAGAAAATACCCTTAAACGTTCTCTCGTTCAAGAAATTCACCGGATTTTTTTTGAATGCATCATCTCTGCTCGGCATGGTTCTTCGGTTGGGTTTTCTCGGGTTCCGATGAGCAGCCGGTCTCCATTTCCTTTTCGAATACGATAATGGTAGGAATGGAGAAGCCCCAGGAAAGTCTGTCGTAAGCTGAGTTGCCAGCTTCCTCTTTGAGCCATGCAAAACCGGAGGCTTACTATCCAATATTGTGGCATTCGGTGCTTCTATTTCTTCTTAGATGAATCCCTCCTGATGCGACATAAAAGCACCTGCAGATGAGAAGAACTGGAGTGATTCTTTCACATACCCCAAGACCACAGTGCTAAAAATCCCAAAATAAGCAGACTGGGAGCCCGCATTTTGCCAAAGGTTTTGTGAACAAATTTTGAAGAAAAGAAACGGGTTTTTCTTTAGAAAGATAGATCGAAATTAAAAGGCCGATCTTGTTTGATTCTCTGCGTTGAGAAGAGAAAAACAAAAGAAAAGAGAACCCAACCAAGTCTGCCATGGAAGGAAGAGAAAGAAGGCAAAGAGAGAGAGAACCGAAAACCCCCTCCCTATCAAAAAGAGGGGTTTAGTGAAAACGGTTGAGATACGTGGGGGTTGGAGTTTGAATGGGTTGAGTGCTGGATTTGGGTCAGATCCGAATTCGGGTCTAGAAACTGGGTCTTGGGTGTGTAACTGGGCTGTAAAAAAATGAAAATAAATTAGTAATGATAATATATATGTTACATAATTCTAATATATAAATTAAAACGTAAATGCCACGTGATCGGATGAAAATATGTGTCAACAATATAAATAGAGGTGTGTTTGTTTCATTTATTTTCACAAACAATCTATTTTGAAAACTAATTTATGCACTCATTTATCGACTCGTTTATCTCCTTTTTCCTCTTATTTTTTATATTTTAAATATTGGTGAAGGTAGAGACTAAATTGAAATCGAATGCATGATGAATTTTGGAGTTCAAACTATGAAGCTTGATGAGCTTAAGGACTAGTAATATAATTTCACAATTTTTCTGAATATACAAAGGAACATATCAACAAATAATAAACGGATATGTTCGTGGACGTTAAATAAACCAAACATGAACATTTTTAAAAATAAAATAAAAAACAAACATAGATCAAACATGAATATCTTAAAAATAAATAAATAAATAAATAAATACGAACACAATATTAATCGTTCAAGTGTGTTAATTTACCATTCTCATTATGCAACGTATCTGTTGTAAGCTTCCTGACTTCCTGCATTCATCAATTATTTATCATGTGTGAGAACTTAATTGTTTGAACAATCACAAGAGCCATGAATCCATACCCTGTTTAACACAATAAGAAAGAACCTTTAGTACGTATACAAGCTTTTTTTTTTTTTTTTGCACAAATGGGTGCGGATACCCTTTCCCATCCCCATCTCCATCTAATAATTTTTTATATTTATCATTTAATCATCATTTACGATGAGTAAAATTTTTAAATCAACATCATCCTACGAAGATAAATTCACCACACTCCCACTACTCAATTGGATTCTCACAACCCATCTCATATCCGTCTGTATCCGTATGTATCCGTCTATACCCGTCAATTTGAGATAGGTGAAACAACGATCTTTAATTTTAAAAATGTTTATATCCTAATATTAGGTTAAATTATAAGTTAAGTCCTATAAAATCTTAAGATTTACATAATATTCTTTAAAATTATATCTAAATTCATAATGATCCAAAATTTATATTGTGAGTAGTAGGGTGTTCAAAAATACCTAAACCGGTTGACCCGACCCGACTATCCGCCAACCCGGTTAAAAAATATCATGTATTTATTTTGAAAATACTCGATTTTTCAAGCAGGGTACCTGACCGGTTAAATTTTTCGGGTTTCCAGATCGGGCTTGGTTTACAAAATGTTACTTAATCGGGTACCCGCCGATACGTTATCCAATTTATTATATTTTTTTATTTTATATTAAATGCTTATTTATAATTTTCAAAATATTTCACTCTAACATTCTAAATTTCTAATTTCTTAAATTTTACTACCATAAATTCTAAATTTTTAATTTCTTAAATTATTTCACATTAACATTTTAAATTATTTTTTAAAATATTTGTTTTAATTTCGAAACTCTTGAAATTTAATTTAATTTTTTATTTTATTATTAAATTTTTTTTTAATTATGTAATTTAAAATTTTGAATTTTATGTGTGAATTATATATTATAGAACTTTAAATTTTAGAATATATATATATATATATATATATATATATTTAAAGAGAAAAAAATTATGAATCGAGTATGCTTAACCCGTAAATACAGGTACCAGGGTTTTACGGGTACCCGAATATCATAGGCCGGGACACGGGCTGTCATTTTAGTACTGAAAATTTCAGGTACCTAGTTTTGAAAACTCTTAGTGAGTAGTTAGTGGCTGGGCGAATGCAGGACAGGTAAGGTCTTAAACCCATTAACTAAAGGGTAAACTACACGGGAGACCACCAAACTATGGTCATTAATCAATCTTACTACCAAACTATTTTTTGTCTCAATTCGACCACCAAACTTTTTAATTGATTCAATCAAACCACCACACCATTAATTTTAACAGACTTGGTGACGCGTCCGTTAATAAAATTGGCATAATTATATATTTGATCCTTAATATTTACATATTCTATCAATTTAGTCACTATTTTAATTCAATTAAATAAATTTAACTATCCAATTAGAATATGACACGTGTCAATACATGATTGGAAGGTTCGTTGGGCCAAAGATCCCCAATGGTTCTAACTTACAACAATTTTTATTTAACTTATAAAAGTTTGTTAATGATAAAAAATTTAAAAAATTATTTGTTTAAATAAATTATTTTTTCTTTAACCGTTAATCGAACCGAAATTTATTTGAAAATTATTAACCGAACCAAATTAACCGAATTTTTTTTCTTTAACATTAATCGAACCGAAATTATTTGACCGTTAATCGAACCAAAATTTATTTGAAAATTATTAATCGAACCAAATTAACCGATTTTTCTTTAACATTAATTGAACCGAAATTATGTGAACGTTAATCGAACCGAAATTTATTTGAAAATTATTAGCCGATTTTTTTCTTTAACCATTAATCTAACCAAAATTATTTGACCGTTATCGAACCCAAATTTATTTGAAAATTATTAACCGAATTAACCGAATAAAATAAATTATTTTTCTTTAACCGTTAATCGAACCGAAATTTATTTGAAAATTATTAACCGAACCAAATCAACCGATTTTTTTCTTTAACCATTAATCGAACCGAAATTATTTGACCATTAATCGAATCGAAATTTATTTGAAAAGTATTAACCGAATTAACCGAATAAAATAAATTATTTTTCCTTAACCGTTAATCGAACCGAAATTTATTTGAAAATTATTAACCAAATTGAATTAACCGAATTTTTTTCTTTGCACA